TCTAATGCCTGAGCCTGTAAGAGCTTGAATCAGCTTGCTTCTAGCCTTCTCCCCATCACCACCTGTGAGCACTTTCATTTTTCTCTGGTCTATTAAGTCATTACCAATTGCCTATTTGCTTTCTAGTTTCTAAAATTGTCTTGTCATCTGCCTGTCATCTCCTCTCCTATACTCTTTGGCCTTATAAGTGTATATATTTTTTTCTCTTGAAATCTTAGTGATGGCTCTATAGGCCAGAAGTGAGGTTAGTTGATTGCCTTCAGCTGTTAGCAAATTCAAGGTATGCCTCAGCTTTTGAGCCAAGGTCACACTCTTCTCAGGCAAGTCCCCAGGCAATGACTGAGAAAGGTGGTGATAGCTGAGGTTATGCTCTTCTCTGAAGACCTTCAGCCAATGACAGAGCAAGGCTGAGATACCTGGCAGTGCTTGCTCCAGGGCTCCCCCTTGGGCTGGTCTAAAGTGTCAGTTCTGCCTTACTGTCTGATGGCTTCTCTTGCCCTATCTTACCTCCTTCCTCTTCCTAAGTGTTATGACAGTTGCTTCCTGGAGAACCCAACTGGCATCCTGTTGGAAGGATATGGAGTTATCTTAAGAGAATGAAATGAAACATTCACTTGTGGAGAAAGGATACTGAGAGGGCTTCAGCAGCAGGACCTTGCAAACCTTTTCCTTAAAGCACTGACAGTAATTTAGTTCCAAAGACATATAATTTCATCACCTCTCCAGCCTAAGCTTCAAAATACCAAGAAGAGAGAATGATTGGCCAGCTGGGGTCAGGTTCAATTAGCAATGGCCAGGAGGACTTGATCTTTATTGAGAGTCATTTCCAGGAAAGGAGGAAGTGAGATCTATTTGCCACCCAAAAAGATGTTAATGTGAGGGAGATTACCAAGAATGGTACAGATGATAAATGAGGGTCAATATTAGAAAAGGTATTTTATGAGCTAGACTAGAAATTACAGCTGCTGCTCATTCTGGGTTATCCAGAATAAGAGTAATATGTCCCAAATGATCTCCCTTGACTATCTGAAAAGAACTTTCACCATAGTCAGTCTGCATGCTGAGCAAATAATCCAAGAAGCTGGACTATATGAAGAACACGGCATCAGGACTGGAGAAAGACTCATTAACAACCTGTGTTATGCAGATGACACAACCTTGCTTGCTGAAAGTGAAGCGGACTTTTAAGTACTTACTGATGAAGATCAAACTCTACAGCCTTCAGTATGGATTACACTTCGACATAAAGAAAACAAAAATCCTCACAACTGGACCAATAAGCAACATCATGATAAATGGAGAAAATATTGAAGTTGTCAAGGATTTTATTTTACTTGGATCCACAATCAATGCCCATAGAAGCAGCAGTCAAGAAATCAAACAACACACTGCATTGGGCAAATCTGCTGCAAAAGACCTCTTTAAAGTGTTGAAAAGCAACGATGTCACTTTAAGGACTAAGGTGTATGCCTGACCCAAGCCATGGTGTTTTCAATTGCCTCACATGCATGCGAAAGCTGGACAATGAGTAAGGAAGACCAGAACTGACACCTCTGAATTATGGTGTTAGTGAAGAATACCGAATGTAACATGGACTGCCAAAAGAACAAACAAATCTGTCTTGGAAGAAATACAGCTAGAATGTGCCTTAGAAGCAAGGATGGCAAGACCTCGCCTCATATACTTCGGACATGTTATCAGGAGGGACCAGTCCCTGGAGAAGGACATCATGCTTGGTAAAGTAGACGGTCAGCAAAAAAGAGGAAGACCTTCAACAAGATGGACTGACACAGTGGCTGCAACAATGGGCTCAAGCCTAACAATTATGAGGATGGCAAAGGATGGGACAGTGTTTTGTTTTGTCGTACAATAGGGTCGCTGAGTGGGAACCAATTCGGTGGCAGCTTACAACCACCGTGTTCCCCTTCAAGTTTTCTATTTTCTAGGCTAAGCATTTTGACTTCCTTCAGGAGTTCTCTCCGTATGTTACTTAGAGACCCCTCACTTCCCTATTTGCTATTTTCTGGAGAGACATCATATCAGATGGGATCTGATCAGAGTGAACAGAACTTTCATTAAAGTTGCCTAATATTTTATTACATTTGATAGAAATATCTGTTAATTCATACTGAGCTTGCTGTTAGCTGAAACCCCCCAAGAATTTTCATTGAGATACTCATCAGCTAGTCACAATCTACATTTTTACAATTTTTTTTTACGTAAGTGCATAATTTTTCTTCTAAACTTTTTTTCAGTTCCTTTTTACACCTGTTAAAAAGATTTTTTTCATCCTTGCCTCATTAATAAAACCAAAAAACAAAACAAAACCCATTGCCATCAATTCCAACTCATAGCGACCCTACAGGACAGAGTAGAACTGCCTCACAGAGTTTCCAAGGCTGTAATATTGACAGAAGCAGACTGCCACATCTTTCTCCCACAGAGTGGCTGGTGGGTTCGAACTGCCGACCTTTCAGTTAGCAGCTAAGTGCTTACCCACTGTGCCAAAAGGGCTCCTGACTCATTAATACTGGTACTTATTATAACTTTTTGTTTTCTCACATGCAAATTTGGCAACCTCTTATATCTTCATCTAAGTTGTTCATAAAATTGTTGATTAGGAGAAGACTGAAGAACCTGGTGGCATATCTTTGTCATCTCTCTCCAGCTGGCACCAATCCATCGACACACATTTTCTAGGTTTGGTCATTCTACCAGCTGAAGATCAAACAGCCACGCTTCTCCATTCAATCCATAAGCCTATCACAACAGATTTTTTCAAATAACTCTGTTGAAAACCAGGTACACTGAAACTATGGTAGTTCCCTGAGCCACCAGTCTAGCAGCCCTTCCAAAGCAAAGGAGCAAATCTCCTAACGAACATTCTTTTCCTAAATGCACACAACCAGCCAGATTCATGCCAGGATCAGCATCAAGCTCAAGTACTTTCCAGAATCCACCCTTTGCTCACTTTTAAAATTGAGTTCATGTGATCATTTTCTTCTCTAGAAAGCCTTAAAAATTACAACTTGTAGTTTTTTAAACACAGCATCAATTGGTCTGGGGACTATGGACCTGGAGATAAAACTCCCTCAGCATACCCTCACATAGCTTAGACATTAACTCCCTCTTTTCCCTGCTTTTCTACCTTGTTCAGTTTGAGTATTATGCTTCTTATAGTATTAACTATATGATATTATACTACTGTACTGTAGTATTAGCTACTGTAAGAGAGGCTGTATCTCAATTCTAAAACTCCCAGGGAGGTGGAGAGGAAACTTGTAACTGGCCCACCAACTTAATTCAGGAGCAGACTCCCTGCTTGATCAACTGTGGCCAGTAGAAACAAATCTCACTGCATAAAGCGGCTGTCAGGATTCCACTGCTGGGGGGAGGGTTGTAGATAAAGGAGTCAGCACAGGCTTTTAGAAGGATATCCCAAATGATGTTTTCTATAGAGGTTTTAAGAAGCTGAAGGTCTGGAAGATAATGAGACAGAAACAAAACAAAACTTTTAAAAACTCCATTTCAAAAAAAAAAAAAAATTCCATTTCCTTTTTCTTTCTAAAATAAACAATGCTCAAGTTTTATGTTACTTTGAAATCTATGAGCAAGGAGTCATTTGCTAGTGATCTTAAACATGCTATTTAATCATCATACATAGGATGGAGATGATAATAACGCCTACCCTGCAGAGTTGCTGAGAGAATCTGAGATACTGTATCTCAAGTACACAGCACTGTGCCTAGCACACAGCAGCATAGTAATAAGAACTCAGCAAATGGCAGCTATGATTTTAAATGCTAAACAAACTCATGCAGTATCAGCTCCCTGTCCCCCTACCCCCTTAGAATAGAAGATTACTAGAGAGATTTACTGTTTCCTCCAAGGCTGTTCAGAAGATAGTGAAGTCACAGCCCTGTGAGCTTAACTGAAGAGAGAAACTCTAAACACAGCATACTCAATTCCAGAGGATTCCAAGAAATAAATCTAACTTATTACTGTATCACATTAGCTTTACCATTACCTGTGAATAGCATGAAATAAAAAATAAACATCTGAAACCATTAACCTTAATTATAAAAATAAAATTTATTGAAATTATACACACACACGGAGGGCACAATGTTATTTATTTATTACACATAAATCCTGCTTCTCACCTACAGAGTTATGTATACAGTTATAAAACAGTGGTAAGAATTCCTAAAAACTCCTACTGTACTTCTTTAATCCTAAGTCCCATATTTGTTTCTGTCCCACAACTGGTCCTACAATCCATATGCACATTTATTATAGCATTTATTTTCCCCCAAAAGCAGTTTTTAAGCCAATCGTATATCTAACACGTACTGTCATCTTAGATTCAAGAACATACAGTATTTGAAATGAGTAAACAGTATTTATCTAATTTTTTATACTTTACCAGCAATACTTTATTCCATGTATACAACTTCCCTAGTCTCTCCTACAGTCCTATTGATCTTGAAATGGAAACCATGTCATGTTATTGAACGTAATTCTTTTCTATTATTTTTGCAGGAAGTCACAAATGCAGTACATTTTTTATTTGCCTTGGAGCAGGACGTTCTGAATTAAATCTAGTCTCCCAGGTCTCACAGTCTAAGAAACTAAGATACATGCAAGAGAAAAGTAAAAGGGTAAGTCAATTATTTGTTTTCCTACCACATAACCATTTAAAGTAATTGTTAGGAGCTTACAGTTACATAATTTTCTTGGCATCACAAAGCATCTCAATTTGTCTTTCCTTTAACAAGTACTCTCCTTTCCTATGGTATTTGAAAAACTGCTCCATGCAAAAATAACAGGGCACTAAGAAATGGATGACTGACAACAATTATGATGTATGTAGAAATGTAACAATTTCTTCAAATACTTTCTCTGTATTTAAAGAACTGTAGTGAGCAGTAATTACCTCAGGAGTCAGTAATGTACTCTGTAAGCACCATGAAAAATGAAATCATGGACTATCTTGTTTATGACTATATTCCCAGCACCTATCACCATGCCTAGTACATAGTATGTGCTTAATACACAATACTAAATGCACAGATGAATAAGTCGTGTGGGCAAAAAAAAAAGTATATTCAGCTGCAAACTAGCTCAAAGACTAATATTGTCCAGTTCATCTTTGGGGAAAATTTAACCACAGAATACAAAAGGGAAATGACAAAACAATATACAAATTCCTGCAGGAACAATAATTTTAAATATACACCAAAATATTATCACATATTAAAAAATCAAATATACTATTAGGTAATTCTGAAATTATCATTTCCATTTGAAGGGTTGACAATAATAGGCTCTAAGACAGAAGATTCTGGTCCACACATAGCAACTGCCCAATGCTCCTTTCTCAGATGAGGTGCTTTATATAGAAACATAGGTATACAACAGCTTTTGTGCCATTGCAATATTCCCGCTGCTCTGATAAATGAGAGACAAGTTGTAGGCAATATCTCTTCGCAAGTCTAATTGGTCAACTTCTATACCCTAGAGGGAAAATACATCAATGTTTTTCTATTTCAAGTTGACAACTAGGACAAATTTTATGACAAATAAATACCTTCATAAGCTTTAAGTTTTCAAAATCCATTAAAATTCAAATACTAAAAGTAATTATAAAACTATGCATATACCTAGGATCTAAATTTTTATCAGATGATGCTGATTCAGTTAACCATTAAGTAGCAGTATCATCAAATACTTTTTTTAAATGTCTAAGCAACAAGTTAAAGTCTAACAGTGGAATAAATTCCAGATGAATTAAGGATTTAAGTATAAAAAATTGAAACCATTAAAAAAAAATAGTTGAATAAAACTATAATCTTGGATTGGAAAGGGCTTTCCAAATATAATACCAAAAGAAATATAAAGAAAAAAGATTAATGGATATGACCACAATAGGCTAGAGTGGGGGAAAGACCTATACTATGTGACAGAAAAACATAAATAAGCAGGTCTAGGAGAGCATGAGCCCCGGTGGCGCACTGGTTAAAGCACAGGACTGCTAACTGAAAGGCTGGCGGCTGAAACCACCAGCAGCTCCGCAGGAGAAACATGTGGCAGTCTGCTTCTGTAGACATTTACAGCCTTGGAAACCCTACAGGGCTGCTATGAGTCAGAACTGACTGTACAGCAGTGAGTTTTTTTTTTTTCTAAGGAGGGTATACACCAAATTAATATAATGATCACCTTGGTGGTGTTGTTATTATTAATTTTCTTCTCCTTAAATAACAAAGTAATGAATTCAACAGAATAGAGCTGATCTATGTTTCTAATCTTTCCCAACACAAAATTTTGAGGGCAACTTAAAAAAAAAAAAAAAACTGCCACATTAATGGTATCTATACAGCTCAGTTGGAATATGTAAAGGCATTTATGGAATAAAAAACACAAAAGTACATATATTTCATGAGTATAACTATAAAAGTATGTATTCATTTGCTTAAAGACTAAAAATGACCAAGGGTAATGAAAAACAGTTGTAATGGAATGTGGGGATTATGAGTGAAGCTTTAAAAAACTTCTATAATTGCTGTTTTAAAATACATTTTAAAAATTAACAATAAAAACACTCATACTTTTCGATCCCACTTATATGAAAAAGGCAAACGTATAGAGACCAAAGCTTATTTGTGGTTACTAAGGTGGGAGGGAGGGGGAAAGGGAGACAGTCTCTACTTGGGGGGCACCATTCTGTTAACGGTGGTGGAATAATGTGGAAACAGACAGTGGTAATAGTTGGACAACACGATGAACGTTTTCAAAGTAAATCATACAATAAATACCTCTACCACAAGTGGAGGGAGCTCCAGGGCTTTCTGATAATAGTGGATTGAAAGATGAATTAGCCCCAGTTGGTGTAGGCCACGGCCCAAGTTGTAGAATGATTCCTGGCAAGGCCCACGTAGACTTAGATATCGATTAAGAAAGGAAAAACCCTACCAAAAAAGAAAAAAAAAGAAAGAGCTTTTTCACGCATTTAACAAATATGTGCTAAGCACTAGAAACAGAAATGTTTAAAAAATCAGTTTTGCCCTAAAAGATCCTACACCAAATAATCACTGTAATGTGGTGTCATATCACAACATAGCCAAGAACTCTTCTGATGTTGTCCCAAGATTTTTTTTTTAAGGACAAAAATGTTCACAGACAATAAAGTCAAGTGTTACAACTAGTTGTCAAAGACCCCCCATAATCCATAAGATTACAGGATATACTGGCCTTTTTAGTAAACTTTTTGCTTTGAGATACGCGTCTAAAAGTTTGAACAGAATATAAAACCTGAGCACTTATAACGATAGTTTAGAAAAGTCTACTCCCAGGAGCATATTCAGTTTAACCTTTCAAAGAAAATGTTTCTAAAGTCAAAAAACTTGATTTTTTTTCCTGAGGTGCTTATAACTCAAAAGACTTTACGAGAAGTAGACTGTTATGAAGCACAGCTGTAACAATGAGGCTCCCTGTGACACAGCGGCCGAAGAGCAACTTGTTTCTTCCCATATTCACTTCCCCCTTTAATGCATCTTCAACATCTATCATCCCCAGAAAGTTACAAGTTGCAAAGATGCAAGTGTCCTATTTAAGTAACTAAATAAGCCATTAAAGTATATCAACTAATTTGTGACTACAGACTATAAAATGTAATTATTCCCAGGGTGATCTGGAACATAATAAATGATCACAAATTTTCATTCATGCATAAATCAATAAATTAATAATTAAATACATTAATGAATTCTTTAGAATCAGTGCATTTTAGGGTTAAAAATAATGTTCAGTATTTAGAGGGTTAAAATGTTGTGGGGTTGTTAACCAATGTCATAAAACAGCATGTGTGTTACTGTTACATGAGAAACTATCTGTTCTGTAAGCCT